TTCCGCTACTCATCTGATATATACAGAGAAACGGGCCATGCTCTGAAACCATTCGGGTGTAGTCGCGATGTTCTTCCAGTCCGTTCCAGCAAACATCTTGAGATCGTCTTCCCATCGCATTCGTGGCCTTCCGACTGCTCTATTTCCGGAGGGCTTCCAATTCAACAATCGAACTTCCCATCGTGTGGTTTGATCTCTGCGTCATCAGTTTTATTCGCATATATCCATTGCGTTTCATAGCTTCAGCAAGAACGGTTCTTTCAAAAAAAAAAAAAAACATGAAAAAAACAAAACCTGTTGTCCTGACTCTTATAGCTGTATTCGATACCTTGTCGCTGAGTCGAAGACCGAGCATCTGTCGCTCCATTCTTCGCTGAGTTCTTCGCAGACGTTCTTCATGCGCCTTCGTTAGTGCCCATGTCTCGCATCCGTACAGTAGGTGCCCCAGGCACCAATCCAAAGACTCTACGCAGATATGGAAGAAACGTCGTTTGATCCGCATCGGCGTCATCTTGCTTCTTAGTAGAGTTCTGACTTTTCTGTGGATGTTCCATGCCGAGCTGATCCTAGAGCTGATTTCCTGACCGCGTTCCTGCGGAAAACAGATAACTTGGCCCAGGTAGACGAATGATGTTACTTGTGCAATCTCCACCTCGTTTACTCTGAGTTGATGGCCGTTGGAGCTGGTTGACATCCATTGGTCTTATTCTCTCCATTTGCGTTCACTTCTAGTCCAGCCTCTTTGGTCGCTCTAGTGAGTTTACGGAGCATTATTTGTAATCCATCAATAGTTGGAGAGCACAGAAAAAGATCGTCAGCATATGCGAGGTAATTGAGACGATGTTGACCAATGGGGTACCCTTGATCCTCCCAGTCAATGTCGTCAAGGCAGGAATGGAGTGTTCAGAATGAACAGCAATGGAGATAGTGAATCTCCTTGTCGAACTCCTCGTTGTATGTCGATCATCTTCTCTGTAGCACTGATAGTCAGAAATGATCGGCCAGCAGCATAGAGCTGCTTTATCATCCGAATCGTACAGTCGTCTACTCCATATTTAGCTAATGCTCTCCAGATAGCATTGAATTCGATAGTGTCGAAGGCTTTTTGATAATCAACGAACACCATATGTAGTGGCTTCTTCCATTCACGGCATTTTTCCATCAACAGATTGACGGACATAATGTGATCACGGGTGGAGAAACCGCGTCTGAATCCAGCTTGCTCAATGGGAATAGAGCTCATTACTTCTTCTTCCACACGATGAGCTAGTGCACGGGTGAGAACTTTGAAGAGCGTCGACAATAAGGAGATTGGTCTATAGTTGCCGATGTTGGAAGGGTCACCCTTTTTATAGAGAAGGATGGTTTTAGCCTTAACGGAAACTTTCCGGAAAGGACTGGTTGAGTTCGAAAAATTGGTTGAGTTCGGTTGCGAGATCGTTTGCACACATGGGGACCAGATACTTCGTTACACTGGATGGGATTCCGTCAGGGCCAGATGCAGTGTTTCCACGAATGCCACGGCATGCTTTACAGAGTTCGTCTGCAGTAACCGGCCGTCCCAACGGGCCAGTTACAGAGTAAACAAAAGGTCCTTGGGAGGAGCGGTAGAGCTCGTTGTAGAACGCAGCCGCGGTATCAATGGCTTCTAGTGGTGTTGTCGTCAAAGAACCATCTGCACGATGAAGTTGTGATATTTGTTTATGCACATAAGCCAACTCGTATCTAGCATGCCTTATCCTTAGTTTTTCGATTGCACTTTCCATGAGTCGGTCGTTGTGCTTTCGCAAATCATCTGTGAGTGACCATCGGACTTGTTTACATAGCAACGTGTATAGCAGGGGATTCGTGGAGCCATTTGCCAATCCAAACTTCTGCTTCCTTCGCTCTGCCATCAGTGCCCTTGTGCGAGCAGAGACTCGTTCCACTCGCTGCCTACGGAAAGTTGAGCAAATGATCCATGCCAATTTTATTAGCCACCTGCAAGAAGTTGAAATCCTGGAAACCATACACTAGAAATTATGGTAGTCAAGATTCTAGGGCGATGATACGGTTGTTGAAAGGATCGCAAAGAAGCACTTCGCGTGTTCAGAGAATTACCATGGAGAATCTGGCGCTCGGGCCGGTTGTCGTCTCCCATGCACATGCGTAAGCAGCGTGACCCCTCCCCCACAAGGATAACCTCTTTTGAACCAATATTAGGCAAGATTTTACCTAATCACTAACAAATAGAATGGAAGCCGAACGAAGCAAAAATCATGTAATTTCACTCTACAAAACAAATTACAAAAACCAGAACGGCGCAATGTTTTGACACACCCTAACATTTAGGAGGAAATACAGACCTCTAGACCTCTGTCGTAAAGCAGTTTCTGCATCACACTCAATTGCTGTTTCAATGCAGCAATTTTGTCAACGTCTGTTTCGCTTTCTTTCGATTTCTGCTCACATATAAGAACTTGGCCAGTCTTCTAAACTCACTCTCTTCACTCTACATCTTGAACAAGGCAAAGTTACGTTCTTGGAAAACTTGAACCTACCAAGTTTTCTTGTTTGAGTGCCTTATTTTCCTCTTCAAGTTCAGCTACTCGAGTTTTTAGAGAAGAAATCTCCTGCTCAAAGTTGTCAAGTAGTTGCAAATTTTGACGTGAACTAGAACAAAAAAGGTGTTCGAAAAAAAATCAGAATGCTGATAAAACTTACAAAGTTACGTCCTTGAAAAACTTGAACCTACCAAGTTTTCTTGTTTAAGTGCCTTATTTTCCTCTTCAAGTTCAGCTACTCGAGTTTTTAGAGAAGAAATCTCCTGCTCACGTTTGTCAACAGTTGCAAATTCTGACG